CACATAATGTGGGTCAATTGAAATTTGGTGCCAAAATTATAGTCTCATAATCGTCAGAGAACGACGGCCCCGTTAAACGGCAGGAGTACCAATCAAAAAAATAAAACATGATTTAAATTAATAAATATTTTGTGAATAAATGTAAAATTAAAAATTATTCCTTAAGTTATTCAAAAAATGCGGTAGAGATTTTGGCCAAGCAAGTGGACACGGAAATATTCTAGTAAATCTGCAAGGAATGAATCTGGGAAATCCTCAAGGAAGCAATTGGGAAAATCCGCAAGGACGTAATTGGGAAAATCCGCAAGGAAGTAATTGGGAAAATCCGCAAGGAAGCAATTGGGGAGATCAACAAGGACGTAATTGGGAAAATCCGCAAGGAAGCAATTGGGGAGATCAACAAGGACGTAATTGGGAAAATCCGCAAGGAAGCAATTGGGGAGATCAACAAGGACGTAATTGGGAACATCCGCAAGGAAGTAATCGAGGAAGTCCGCAAGGAAGTAATCGGGGAAATCGGCGAGGAACCAATTGGCGAAATCCGCAAGGAAGCAATTGGGGAACCCCGCAAGGAAGCAATTGGGGAACTGCGCAAGGAAGTAATCGAGGAAGTCAAGGAAGTAATCGGGAATATCCGCAAAGAGGTAATCGAAGAAGTCCGCAAGGAAGCAATCGGGGAAATCGGCAAGGAAGTGGACCTGCCATGGGACATCAACAGAACGTTGGATTTCAACCAGACTATGGAAATCAATCTGGTTTTGTGGATTACACCGGGTTCGGACATCAGCAATATAGTGGACATGAAGCATACGGCATGGGAAATCCGGAGGAAAATATGGGAGGATATCAACATAACCCTCAATTAGGACGCGGTCAAGGTGGGAGGAATCCAAATAATCCACAATATCGAGGTGGTCAAAGAGGGGGACGTCACCGAGGATATCGTGGTGGTCAAGGACGAGGGCATTAAGATGGTCAGTGATGCTGCAGTTATGGTGGAGTGGAGAATATCCCCCTATATAGAATACCAAAGAATTGATTGAGTAAACTACTGATTCTTGATAGCGTTAAAAACATCCAAATTTATTTAAAAGAAAATTGACAGATTTATTTATCTTCTTCTACATACATATAGTGTTTTGACATGATAATTTAAATACAATTGACCATTGAGAGAATTAGGTATCCTTCCATGAAAAAGTTCGTCTTTTAGCCAACTAGCTTATAAAATTTACAATTATTTTTGGAGAATTATAACAGAAAAGTTACCAAAATTTCTCAATTTTTCGGAAAATTTCGGGAATAGGGAATGCTCAGAGAACTTTTAATTCTTTATTTCTAAAATCTGTAAAGACTTATGTATGTAATAACTTTTAATTGAAAACTTGATAAGAAGATAATTTAAAATCTGTCAAAAAATTAAATTAGAGGTAAAATTTAGTCTTATTATTTTCATATATGTATTTAATGTTGAATTTTATTTTCGACGTTAAAAACCTGAGGCTTTTATCTCTAATTTAAACACCTCCCCACTAAATTATAAACAATTCCCTCCCTATATTAAAAACATCCAGTATATTACTGGAATTTAAAGTGTTCAATAAGACCGATTTAGCGGTCTTGGTAGGAAACACTAATTTATTTTTAGTCTATTTTTAAATCATTTATATTTGAATTTCTATTTTAAAAGTTAGGTTAATTTATCTCATTTTTTACACTAGGAAACAATTACTCTTTTCCAGTTTATACGCAAACTATACTTCCAAAAAAATTTTATGCGCCCAATCTATGTCGATAAGTACCCGATTCTGCGCGCTAGAACCTTTGGTCCAATAACATTCGTGTGTACTTTAACTCTTTATATTTTAATAGTTTTGTTGGTACTAAAGTACAGAACCGGGTACCTCATTAAATGGACCTATAAAAATTGTTTTTAACTCTATATATTAATGTTAACCTAACTTTATTTCAAAAGTAGTTTATAGCATTAGTTTTTGATATTTATCATTAAATTGTTTTTTATTAAACAAATGTCGATAAATTGATAAAACTTTTTAAAGAACTTATTAAAATACATAGATGCAACATTAACACACTATTCCCAAAAATTTTACTGGCGATCAGAGTTGGGTCGGAACAGTCCGAGGTGTCCAAAATCGAAAGAGTCAGAAATCGGAACTGGCTCAAAAGTCGGAAATCGGAAATCAAAATTTTTTTCGGAAATCGGAAGGGTCGGTCTCTTCTTTTGTTAAACTTTAAATCCTCTCTACCATATATGTACATACATATTCAAATTTTTCATCTTTAACCGCCTTAGAATAAACATTTTCTATTAGTTTTGTTTATTGGGTTTATCGCCCAGTTTTTTTCGAGTATTTTTTTCATCTTTTTATTTCCTGTCCATAAGACAAGTGGATGAATAGAAGGGATAAGCATACGCAAGTCTCTAAATCCTTTTTTTGAAACATTTTCCAGAAGATCGAAAACAAATGTTAGTAGTGAAAAGGCGTTAATTCTGATTCCTGTATTCAGGGAAGTTTTAATAAAATTCTGATTTTTATTTAAATAAAATAAAGACCTAGAACAAAACCAGAAAATAATTTCTAGAGAAGGGTTTTAAATTCTGATTTCTTTCTTCCGGAAATAAATTCTGATTTTATTTTCATGAAAATCTAATATTCTGATTTTATGTGTTTTCCAGAAAGTTTTAAAAAATTCTGATTTTTATTTTTTAAAAGCATTCTGTTTTGTGTGCATACTAGTGATGCTCGGGAGAATAAAAAACCCGGGAATCGGGAAACGGGAGTCGGGTCGGGAAATGACCTCGGGAGTCGGGATCGGGAGTCGGGAATTAGCAATAAAAAAAATTTTTGCGCCTTCGGCGCCAAAAATTCCGATTTTTTGCACCACAGGCAAACATATTGAAAATTTTGGAAGGTAAAGAAGCCTTACTAGCGCCGCAGGGAAAATTTTGAGAATTTTTAGGTTTATTCCCCCGATTATTTGGAAAGATAAGCCAACAGCCTGTCCAAAAAACCTAGTAACCGCAGAGATAATCAGTGTTGGGTATTGCTGGGGGCTTTTTCTTTGAGCCAGAGCCCAGCTTTGATTTATAATTGTTGCCATTGACCTTAAGTCCTTAGAATCTCTCGATTGAAGTGAAATAGAGGAAAAGAGAGTGAAACAGAGAAAAATATTTTTACGTTCAATTTTGGTGGAATTTTGGTGAACTAGCCACTTATATCTTCATATCCCTCTATAGTATTAACACCCCCTGTGCAACATTAATCATCCATTGATATCTCTCTTTATTACTGCAAATCCCTCGTTATCTCTTCAAATTCACCATAATCCTAGTAAATCACCGAAATCTTCTATACTACAACTCCACAGATTCTTCAGTTTTCAGCGCCGCAGGCGAAAATTTTGGGAATTTTAGGAGACCAAGAGGCCAGATTTCTTCATTTTTTATAAATGTAATATAATTTTGTAAGAAAAATCCATTCTTAGGGGTGTAAAAATTGCCCGACTTAATCGGGAATTGACACCGGGAGTCGGGATCGGGAGGCCAAAAACTCGGGAAATTTTCCCGAGTCGGGAGTCGGGATCGGGATACCCGAGCATCACTAGTGCATACTTTTTCCTCAATGTGCCTGTTCAGAATCCGGAAAGTTTATTTAATTGAGATTTTCTAATTTTCATAACCCTCAAACCTAACACAGCTTTCTACAAGGTATTTTTCGATCTTTCGGGCCAACTCCTCCTTTTTTGCTTCTTCCCATTCATTTTGTATATATTTATTTAGGAAATGTAATATATTAAAATAAATAAATATATCCCTTTTTTACTCAATTCATCCTCATTTTCTATTTATTTTGTCATTTTCCCCTTCTTTTATTCGTCTTTAACCGTCCCCTTACAATGCCCAATTTTGCCTTTAGGCGGCATCTGAAAATGGCTTCACACACAAATGCAATTTGGGGAGAGGAGGGGAAAGGCTTTAAAGGCAAATAAAAAAAGATAGAAGGATTTCTTCACTTTTTTTAAAGAATTGAGCGTCGACAGGGTGATAAGTGCCTTTCTTTTTTTAGTGAATAAAAGCTCTAGGGCATAAAGGAAATTAGTTGAAAATAATTTTTTTCAAATAAAAATAAATTTGAAAGGAAATTTAAGTAAATATATTTTTAGTATTTTTATATTGTCGATTTCAATACATAAATATAATGATAGGGGAAAAGTAAAGAATTTTTAGAGATACTCTTTTCAGTTAAGATTATTTATTAAGTTCTGATTTTACTAGCAACTTCTAATTTTTATGTCTTCCGGAAAGTTTCGCGAAAATTCTGATTTGTATTTTCCGGAAATTGTAAAAATTCTGATTTATTTTTCCGGAAAGTTTTTAAAATTCTGTTTGTATTTTATTCCGGAAAGTGTAAAATTCTGGTTTCTATTATCGGAAGGTTTGATATAATTCGGATTTATATTCTGAAAATTTGTAAAATTCTGATTTTTTAATTTCCAGAATATTTTGTATAATTCTGATTATTATTTACCCAATTACATACATATACTATGTACCTAAATTCTTTTACCCTCCAAAACCTTTTTCATTGTTTTTAAATTAAAATAAAACAAACAAAAGTCTGTTATTTTTTATATGAAAATTGAAACGTCGGAAACAGGAAAATTTCAAATGAATATATTTATGAGACATTCCAACCTTTCTTTACCTTGTCTAGTTTTTAGTTTAGGCTTTTATTGTTTTTAATGAAAGGGTTTCCTTTTTTAGTTAAATTTTTTAATAAATAAAATATAGAATAATCTGATTTTTTCTATCTCAATCTTTGGATGATAAAACAGTAGGGTTTTTGTTTTTTTGTAATTTTCTGATTTTTATTTTCCCGAAAGACAAGAATTCTGATCTTTTAAAATTCTGCTTTCTGTATTTTTCTGGCAACTTTCTAAAATTCTGATTATATTATGTATATAAGGAATGTTAAGCTCTCTGTATTGATCTTTTATTTTTAATGACGATAAGATTTTATATCAAATTCACTATATTTTTATTATTTTTTTTTATTTTTAAAATTTTTAAAATCCATTTTCTTTTTTTCCCCAAACATTCCTCCCCTTCCTATCTTTCCATTTTTATTATTTCTCATGGTTTATCTCTTCATGTGTAAATTTTTTCCTGAATGCCATAAGCAGCATTGAGCGTTTTTTTGTTTGTCGCCATCAGCGTCGACCAACAGAAACCGGAGAGGGGGGACAAAAACACGAGTGGATGGGAGAACGAGAAAGGGGTTATTAAGGCGCAAAAAAATTTAGGCGCGCATAAATAAACTTTAATAAAATAAACTCAATTTTTTCTGATTTTCAGAATCTTTGTTTAATTATTCTAAATGTTCTGATTAGATATATTCCGGTCAAAAAAGTTGTTTTTACCTATTTCTCTCGTTATACATATATTTTTCCGGAAAGTTTTGTAAATAAAATTCTGATTTGTATTTTTGCGGAAAGGTTAATTCTGATTTTTGTATTTTTCTGAAAAGTTTTATATAATTCTGATTATATTTCACATTAGGTTGATATATTCTGATTTGTGTTTTTCCGGAAATTTTAAAAAATTCTGATTTTTGTCTTTATGAAATTTAATAAAATTCTGGTGCTTATAATTCTGATTTATGTATTTTTCCGGAAAGTTAACCTACATAATTCTGAAATCAAAAATCATCCCAAAACTCTCTTGCGCCCAAATGTCCTCAAATTGTAGAGAACTTGAGAGCGAAATGCTGTCCGAAACGGTCTCTCCTTTTTTCTCCTTTTACATTCAAAAAATTGAAAAAAAAGCTTTGGGAAAAGCACTCTTTTCTATTCAATTTTTGGGTGCGTGTATATGCTTATTTTGCCCAAAAAACATTTTAAAACCCACAAAAAAGCCCTCTATCCCCCCCCTCCTGTGGCTGTCTCCACCTTTTATAATTTTACAAAAAAAAATATAAAAGCTTATTTTGTCAAATGCCCTTCCCTCTCTTTAAAAATGCAACGGGCATCAACAAGAATTTTATTTTTGCTTTTTTATTCCGTCTTTAAATTTTTTATTTTTATTTCCTTATTTTTTATTTTGTTAGTAGTAAATTTAGACAATGAATGAATGTTTTTAATACAAATTTAAAAATGATATTAAAGATTAGACTTGGAGTGTCATACGAGAATCAAGATCGATATCTCGAAAAGATTCTAGTCGCGATAGCCTATATTTTTGGATTTGTTTTCGGTCCGGTCTCTTATTGATATTCTCCTAATCATTCTCCTCCATATGTCACAGCTCAATTTGGCCCAAAAGGGTGATATAATGGAGAAATTCCATTTTATAGTCCGAATCTTGAATTCTGATTTGCAACCACGCAATTTTAAGTACTTCACACTCCCTTTAAAGTGAATTTTTTTCCCTAGTTACTGGGAGGAGTTGTCCAAACTAAACTCTGAAACTTCACGTCACACATTCACCTTATCGGCAGATTTTTTCTCCCCTAATTTCGATTTATCCTCCCTAATCTGACACTCAGTTTTACGAGTCCTTTTTTCGATTTCTTCGAATTTTTTTTATTAATTTTTATTTTTTGTGAAATGAGAATTTTTGAGGGGGGGGGGTGTAATTTTAGGAATAAATAAGGGAATAATAATACATATTTCTAACCAGTTTTTTTCTCGAAGAGGATGAGAGAAATGTGTGTTTGTTTGATTATTATTTTAAGTATAAATTTACTCAAAATTTTAATATTTGGTCTAAACTAGAAAGAAAAAATATTTTTTAAAATATGGGAAAACCGGAAGAAGCAAGGGGGAAAGAAGAAAAATATTTTAAAAGAAAAAAAAAAGTAAAGGAAAAATAATAGAAAGCTTCTTCTTTCTATTTTTCTTATACTCGCAACAAAAATATCCTTCTTCTTTCTCTTTATTTTTTTTGAAAGCCAAAAATTGATTTCCTTCCCTTAGCGTGACCCTTTCTAAAAAAATCCCAAAAAATCTTAAAAAGCTTGGAGAAGAATATATTTATACTTATCTAGTTCAAATTGTGCTTAAATAAAAAGCGTCTTGTTTTTCGGAAGAAAATAACATTTAAAAGAGAGAGAGAGAGACAGAATCTCGTCTCCTCATTCTCAATGCTATTTTCTTCCGGAAAACGTTTTTTATGTTACTATTATTCTACTATAGCGTTTTCTCTTATAAATTTTTATCAATTTGAAAATAGAATTTGAAAATTTGACATTTCGAAAAATTGACTTTTTAAGAGTTAACATTTCGATAATTGACATTTAAAAATTTTGGGCATTTTGAAATTTTTAAAAATTTTTCTACATTAATTTTTAATCGAAATTATGAACATTTTTCCATTACGTCTTTTTCGATTTCCTTAGAACATAAAGCTTTGAGATATATAAAGCAAAAGAAGCCCTAAAAGATAATGTAAAAATGAGAGAGTTAAAAAAATTTTAAAAGGAAAATGTCAACTGCACATATATTTTAAAGCTATGAAGCGGAAGTTAGATTGAAAAAAAGATATATAGAATACACACAAAAGGCAGTCTATTTATTTTAATGTATCAAAATGGAATAAGTAAAAAAAATTGGACAAAATGACAATAACTGTTAAAGTTATCGGCATTTTATCCTATTTGTCCTTACTGACCTTTTGTCCTTCCGGAAAGTAAATTTCGATATCTATATTTTCCGGAAAGTTTATAACATGTGTTTTTTGTGTTTTCCGGTTTGTAAAATTCTGATTATTATTTTTCCGGAAACTATTAATAAAATTCTGATTTCTTGCTTAATTATATATTTTCCGGAAAGTTTTATAGAAGTCTTTTTTCCTTCCGGAAATATTTAATTCTGATTTTTTTAATTCTGATTAATTTAATGCTAATTAATTCTGATTTTATTTCCCTTCCGGAAAACACATTTTTATTTCTGACATTTCAACTTTTTTGTCATTATTTCCATTTTGTCGTTTTCCCATTTTGCCAAAAATAAATATACTTATTTATTCTCTAACAAAACTATAGAAGAGACTCAATAATAAAAAGCTTTTTCTATTTGCCTATTTTTAAGCGCACGCATGCAAAAAAAAATTTTTATCTACTTCTACACACTACTACAACATTCATAGAATAATGTGTTACTTTATTTTTTTGTTTCTCTTTTAGCTATTGATAAATGGAATTGAAAAGAAAAATGTCAAATTATTATGATTTTTTATTTTATATTTTTTTCTGAAATTTTTTTTTTAATTTTTTGTTTCCATTTTTCCCCCCTAGAAATTCATGAGGATGTCTTTATTAAATAAAAATATTTACTAAAAAAATTTCTTTATAAAATCTAGATTTTTCTTCATTCTCCTTTCTAAACAATTAATCACACCTTCTTTTGGCACGTTATCAAATGATCATTCTTCTTTTGATTTTTTCACACCTTTTAAATAAAATCCATAAACACCTTTTAATGTTTAACCTAAAATTCAGACTAAAATCAGAATTTCTATGTGCTTTCCGGAAAGATTTAAAATTCTGATTTACACCTGCCAGTATTTAATATTCAGAATTTTATAGTAAAAATTTCCGGAAAATACATAAATACTTTTCGTAGACAAAAATAATATTTATTAAAACCGGAAGCTGCTAAACAAAAACCAGAATTATATTTTCCGGAAACTTCTCATGTTCTGAATTTATATTTTTCTTCAGACTACAATCAGAATTTTTTCCGGAAAGATTTCTATTTATTTTTCCGGTTGTAAAATTCTGATTTTATTCATTCCGGAAAATCAGAAAATATTGATATTTCGTTTCCGGAAGTTTTAATGAAATTCTGATTTGTATTTTTCCGGAAAATCTCTAATTAACCTCATTAATTTCCCATTCTCTAACAGTCTTACTATTAATTTATCTATGTATTTTCACTTTAATTTTCTCTATTTTAAAACAATATTTCATGTGCCCACATACTTTTTTAACAATTACAAATCAATTGAATCTATTAAAGTGTCTGTTAAGTATTTTAGAGTTTTCTTGTGTGTGTGTTTATTTAGCTTTTTATTTATTGCCTTTCTTTTTTTCTTTTTTTTATTACTTTTTATTTCTTTTTTTAAATTAATCTATTCAATAAATTAATTTTATATTTTAAATTAAATTTTATTTTAATTCTTTTTAAATTTAAAAATTTTTTAAAGAGATTTTTAAAGTTTTTTAATCTGATTAATTTTAATTAAAATTAATTTTAATTTAAATATTTTAAGTAAATATATTTTTTAAATAAAAATTAGTCTTTGTATTTGTAGTTTAAATTTATTTGTAGATTTTTCTTTCTGATATTTGTTCTTTTTATTTTAAGTATTTAGTCAAACAAAAAATGACGTTTTCTTCTTGCAATTTACTCTTTATTATAAAAGTATACATACATATAAAACCTTCCGGAAAATGTTTAACTCAGAATTTTAATTGTAAAAGACAATAGACACAGAATCAGAATTTTATAAAACTTTCAGAAGGAAATATTATATAAACCAGAATTTTTATTAAACTTTCCGGAAAATATTTATAAATCAGAATTTTGTTTATAAAACTTTCCGGACTAATCAGAATTCTATCAATTAAATCTTCCGGAAAAACATTAATCAGAATTTTATTTATACACAAAAATCAGAATTATTACAAAACTTTCCGGAAAACATATTAAAATGGTTGTATTTCTTCAAAAATGTATTTTCGTTTCTTTCTCTCACTCCCGCTTATACACTATACTTTTTGGATTACTCATAATTTTAATTTTTTTTTAATTTATAAATTTTTATTTTCTTAAACAATTAAAATGCTTGAAAATAAAAAAAATTATATTTTATTAATTTATTACTTGCAAAAATAATTACCAAATAACATAAAATAATAATTTGAAGCACCTGAAAAATAAATCTAAACAATTCTTTTTTACTTTTCTCTCAAAAAATATTCTTTAACCTTTAAAAAATATTTTCTACAAAAATAAAAATTAATTTTTAATTAAATTTTTTAATTTATTTTTCCTTAAAAATTGAGTATTTATTTAAATACGTCAAACAAAAAAAAAATAAAAGTCAATACACTTTTTTATATTTTCATTATCGTCATTTACCCTCAAATACTTGCATCCTTTTATAAAATTATAATTATTGTATTTATATGACGCGCTTAATGTAGCTTATGCATTTTATGCTAGACATTTTAAAAGTAAAAATATTTACTTTAAAATATTCGGAATTTTCGAGTAAAATTTTTTCGGAAAATACACAAAACCAGAATTGTATTTATATAAATTTTCTGGAAATTACAAATCAGAATATGTATTAAAACCGGAAGACTTTCCTTAATACAAAATCAGAATATTTGTATATTTTCCGGAAACCCACGATTTATTTTCCGGAAAACACTTCCTGCTCGCGTTTGGACTTTGTATTTTTCCTTTAGACTAAAATCAGAATTTCTATTTATTTTCCGGATTACAAAATTAATTTATAAAACTTTCCGGAAAATACATAAAATAAGAATTAATTAAAAATTAATTCTGAATTTAAATCAAAGAAAATCAGAATTTTATATTCACAGTAATAGAGTGCCTATACTTTTATATTTACAGAAAATAATATTTCTTAAATAAACAAACTTATACTTATTCTGTTTTTATATCCAACCAATTATAAATTGGTTAATAAAATAAACTTTAACCGCAACTTTATTTTTTTTCTCTAAACTATTTTTGCTTCTCAATTAAGTTTATTTATTTATTATTTGTTTGCTATATTTATTATTAATTTTTTCAGTCTATTTTATTATTATTTTCCCCCCTCTCCCTCCTACTTTTTAGGGTAATCCAATTTCCTCATCAGAAAAAAATAAAAAAAATATTTTTAGTCGTTGCCCTCGTTATATATTTTTTTTATTTTTAAATTTATTTTTTCTTTTATTGACACACTAACATTTTCTGATTATTTTTTTTTATTTTTATTATATTTTCGAGTTGTGTCTTTTTTTCAATTTGTTGATTGCTTTTATTTCTACACTTATTGTTAAATATGTATTTTCGGAGCAGTTCAACTGAGTCCGCACGATTGAGTCCCCACGATTGAGTCCGCACGATTGAGTCCCCACGATTGAGTCCCGGCACAATTGAGTCCCCACGATTGAGTCCGCACGATTGAGTCCCCCTTGTATATACCTCAATTGAGTCCCCGTAGATTTAATAAGTTTAAAATTTCCATATCCGGCATGCGGGATTATTTCAAAATTTCTATTTTTTAAAGTATAAATGCCGGGCAGACTACCTGAGCACCTCTGCTGAACCCCAAATACCCTGCGTAGCAGCACAAAAAAGTTTTCCATCGAAGATTCAGTTGATCATAATTCTGTTCAATATCGTCCAATCGAGCTGATTTTGGTATCATTCAACTCAGCTCGTCGAGTCCTTTCGAATGAGCTATTTTGTGTTTATTCGAATTTTTCATTCCAAAAATTCCCCCATGGATTTGACCATTTCAAGCCCCATATCTCGGCGAGAACTTGTTCAACCATGTTGATTTTGCTGTCATTCGACTCAGCTCATTCGAATGAGCTGTCATTCAAAAAATCTCTCGATATCCCTCCTAATCCCCAAATCCACAATAT